ATGAGATATATGTCCAGAATTCTTGTGCTGAATAGAAATACTTGAGCTAACTAAAAATGGAAGAAGTCTAATTGTAGCAGTACAGAACTCAGCATGGGTCATTTACTTTGGGAAGAAAGCCTGCTTTAAGCAGTTTAATATGCATACAGTGCTTCAAAGTATTGTCTTCACTTGCATTTGGCTTAGAACTTGTTTGAGATATGAAAGTCTTTCTTTTGTTTCAGTTAACTTGTCACAAATGAGGAGATGGCAACAGACACCTTTTGAGTAACTCACCCATCTCTACATATCTGGTATTAAAAAAGCCTTATCCTGCATTCCTTATACACTACACTTCCCTCTGATTCTGCAGAGCATTCAGTTACTGGGAGAATTTTCTCCCAGGCAAAGAAGGAGGGAGTGTTCCTTTACAAATTTGCAATGGTTTCTTACGCTGCTCCACACCTTCCCTTAAAGTGGCTTTTCATCCCACTGGAATGGGATGAGCTCAGAAAGCTCATGATGATGTTGTACCATAGTAATCTTATCAATGAGTGGTCAAAAGGACAGTGCCCCATTCTCCAGATATGTCAGCTTTTAAATGGTCACATCCAAACACATCGCATGAGATAATCTCCTTGAGAGGGCAGGGGATACAGCATACCTCAGGTTTCACAGACCCTACCCTTTGTGTTTCACAATCTTGGATACGTACCATTTATTTCTTCATGGATGACTGTGCTTTTGGCAGAAACCAAAAGGTACAGCAAACTCAGTGTAAGAAATATTAGCAGACACTGGAGGACTTGCACACTTCAGCCACAATATAGCTGTAGTGCTTCCACACTTCATCACAGTTGCGCAAGACTGCCAGTATGCATCCATAAAAAAATGCCAGAAACACCAGGGTGAGCTGGGTGTGATTTACTAGGAAAGCTAATGAAAAATGTTCCAAAACATGAACCAGCTACAAGTAGCTGGGGGGGGGGGGGGGGCAGGTCATAAACCCTTTACTACCCTTCATTCATCCCATGCAAACTTTTCAACTCACAGACTTTGGTTCCACTGCCAAGGGGAGCAGCAGTCTCCATATTTGGATTCTCTTACACCTCAAAGCATCTCAAAACCTTCAAACATCCTAAAATTGTTTTTAGTGAACAACCTATATAAGTTCTAAATAATGTAAAAAAAAAAAAGCTTGTCCAGGAATAAATTATGCTTACGATATTGTGGATCATGTTTTTAGCACAAGTAGAATTCCCCTTTGTTATGCTCTGAAAAACAGACAATTCTGCTTATTACATTATTCAGGCAAGTAGTCAAAAGATCTAAAATTCCCCATAGCAGGATGAAGCTGTCAAATGCCTTTGTAACTTCCTTGCTATTGATTTCACCATGCAACATGTGATGGGAACCTTCCCAAAATATGCTGAGTAGTCAGAGTGATTCTTTACTCCAGGTGCAAAAAGGTAATTTTAAGCAGTGGACTCTCTATCCTCTACTTTCTCTTCCTAAAGGAGCCCTCAGGTACACTATTTATGCAGTACAGAAAAAGACCAACTAGCTCCAGGAGCAGAAGATCTAATTAAGCCTGGGCTGTGTGGATTTATGTCCTCTTGTAGGCTCTCTTGCAGCTAAACCAGAACATTTATCTCCTCAGGGATTAATCTTTTATATTTTATCAGCCTTGCCTTCATGGGGGCACCAGTATGGTCACTTTTCTCTATATCACTGCTTTTTTTAATTAAACTTTCAGGCACATAATTTCCTTGAGAACCTGTGCCTCTGTCCAACTTCAGTGACATTTATTTAAAGCTCAGAAATTATTCAGAAAGATAGAGGTCTCCATGGGCAGATGAAACAGGCAGGGCTTCACTTCTTTAGGAGACCAAGCTCTTAGAAAAATCCATTTTTAAGTACTTGATATTCTGTAAAGTGAATAGAATAGAGTTTATTTATTTCTTTTGAATCATAATGTGAAATATTCTCTTCAAGTCAATGTGAGTATCATTTAATTTAATTTGATAATCTGGAGAAGGGACTGTGTGCCTGAAAGCTTATTATCCTTTTTAGCTAGATCAACTGGTCTATTATACTACTTTATTTCCCCCTCAGAACTTGCTGCTTGTCTAATTAGAGACCCTGGTGCACTCTCATTAAATCTCTCATGGAGTGTTTCTCCCTGAGGAAATCCCGAGGCCAATGAACTAGATTAGGATTTATGATAGACACATGATTAGATTAAACTCGTGGGAGAATTCAATATGTAACATACAAGTGCAAATGTTCATAAATGTATTGATCTGAAATGCCACATTTTTTAACACTGAATCATTTTGTTTAGAAAACTAATTTTCCCATTGTTGCAGACATTTAAATTTTGGGGGGGGATAGAAGATGATACTTTATATTGTGCCTAAATCATCAGAGTGGGCAATGACAAGTCTAAATACTTGCTCTCCTTTTAGAAATGTAGTCTCAACATGACTCAGGTTTTAGCCTGTGGTAATTACTGCCAGTATTCACAACAGCTTCTGTTGGGAAACCTCTTGTTTACTATTGCAGCAAATTCACCTGATGATTTTTTTGTCTTTGAATAATATATGCATGAGACAACACGGTACATCTGGGGGCTCTTCTTGCTGCTTCACCCTTCTATAACTTGAAATTCCTGCCTGTTTATTAGTAAGAACTAAATGTAAATTTCTTACGTGAGTTATTTGGCATAATAATTTTGCCCCAAGAGAAAGACTCACAGCTGACCCTTACCACAGCTTTTTCAGAGTGCACAACTGGGACGTTCACTTTGCCAAGGGACTACTGAGGCACAGAGTGATTAAATGACTTGCCCATGGTGAAAGACTGTGGTAGACATAGGGGAAAAAAGATAATCTATCTATCTAAGCAAGCATCCTAACCACTGGAGCATCCTGTATCTGCTGACATTGCTCAGAAGGCAGAAATAATGGAGTTGGATTTTCTGGGGCTGTATAACCAATAATTAGCTGGTCTCTTTTCTCTTGCTTTTAAAAGATCAGGGACTATTAACTTTTCAGTCTTAGTGCTTAAACTGTTTCTGTGGCTGATACAGTTCAATTAGTTTTCCGGTTATCAATCCTTCATTGCTTTAATGGCATTCAGAATACCAATTCACTCCTTTATCCATCAGGAAATCTGCACAGAATTTACATTTGGATTTTTTTTTTATACATAGTGTAGTAATTATTAGCAACTTTGTGCCACTTCTGTAAAATTTAATCAAATATAAATTTATCAATAACAAAATTTCAGGTGGCTTTAGTACAGGCAAGACAGGATCCATCAAGATCCTGCTTGCTTCAACCAAGGAGCCAATCCCCCCCATTCTTCCCCTTTTTATCCCTCACCCCGAACCAATGGGGATCAACACTAGCTTCCAATGCTCTGACTGGACAGCAATGCAACGGTGCAGAAACAAAGAAATCGGTACATAGAAACCTGCAACAGAGGGACATCAACCTCCACCTTACAGACAGCACTGTGCCTCATCGTGGTCTGTGACTTGACAAGGAGCAGATCCTGTTAAAACCTGTTTGGAGCAATTGGTTCTAGAATGCAATATCTCACAACTATTTCAGATTCATAGGTTTATTTGTAGGAAACTAAGAGTTTAAGATCTAAAATGACTATATTTTTACATGAGAAATACATCCACAGAGCATTTATTAAATCCCATGATTTATCATAGCATGACTTGGCTATTTTACATCTTGAGAAAATTACTTGATTTAAGTATTCTAAGCACTGGTCACCCATTTTGTTTCCACATGCTAAAATTCAGAAGTTCAGCTCCACCTTTTTCATCATTCAACAGCCACACTTCTCAACTGAATAACTTGAGTATACTATCACTGATAAAATGCAGTGAGTAGTATCTCAGAAGCATCTGTGGGTATAACAGTAGAATTTAATATTGTTGTAGTTCTTTCTAAATATTTACTTCTAAGAGTTCTCCAGAATCCAGTATTTTCAGATTTAGTCTGTCCAACAAAATACATTGATTGACATTCACCAGATCCTAATTTGATTATAGAAATTCTTACAGTGTTTTGCTTTCCTTCGAGATGGCAGAAGTCTCCTTTAATCTGCTGTAGTGTTTTACAAATACAGTTAGCCTTTGGAATGCTTCAGACAAACCTTCTCCTGTGATGGCACAACAGGGCTGCACATACCAATTCCTGTCACTGCAGTACTTCTTCATGTTGAATCTCCTCGTTATTTCCTCAGCGTTCAAAGCCCCAGGCAAATCCTGCTTGTTAGCTAGCATGATGACTGGTACCCGTTTTAGAAATTCATTCTTTAAAATGAGTTCAAATTCTTTCTTTGATTCTTCCAGACGTTGCTTATCAGAGCTGTCCACAACATACAGCAGTCCATCTGCATTTTCCAGGAAATTGCACCAAGCCTGTCTCATTTTCTGTTGTCCTCCAACATCCCAAAATGTCAATGTAATATCCTTCCCAGTTTCAATCATATCAACATTAAAGCCAATCGTTGGAACTGTTAGAAAAACATCGTTAGACTTGAACTTGTACAACAGCGTAGATTTCCCAGCAGAATCAAGTCCTAACATCGGTATATTGGCTTGTTTGACTGTGGAGTGTTTGGTGTGCTGGAGGCCCATTTCTGCTGCGGTCGTGTCTAAGCAGCCTTTAAAGCTGGAATTCAGTCTCTTTTGTGACGCCAGTTTTTCTCTGTAAGATGTCTTTCTTCCTCTATCAGATGAAGCACAAAGAGTGCGGAACAGGAAGGGGAAGAAGCAGCTTTGCGCTATGAGAAGTCAATGAAGGCTCTGTACAAATACATGCTGGCTTTTATCAACTTGATAATATGCAAACAGTATTTATGAAGGTGTACTGTTCAGTTCCAAGCCTGTGTGGGTGGAACAACTATGAGTAACGTGCCAATTGGTCATAAGCACAAAGGTTATGCAGTTTTCGAACGTGTTTGAACAGTGAACCGCACCTCCATGAGCACTTAAGACATTATATTTTGTGTACAGAACCTGCAGCAGCCTGGTTGTGATCCCTAACCCCAAGGGCCAGGGAACCGCTATCTGTCTGCCCTGTTCCAGAGAGCCCAGCGTCATAGAATCATAGAATCCCAGGTTGGAAGGGACCTCAAAGATCATCTGGTCCAACCTTTCTAGGCAAAGCATGGTCTAGACTAGATGTCCCAGCACCCTGTCCAGCCAAATCTTAGACGTGTCCAGTGTTGGGGAATCCACCACTTCCCTGGGGACATTATTCCAATGGCTGTTTTCATTGTGAAAAATTTTCCTCTTGTGTCCAACTGGACTGTCCCCAGGATTAACTTGTGCCCATTGCCCCTCATCTTTTCCATGTGACTCCTTGCAAAAAGGGAGTCTCCATCTTCCATGTAGCTGCTCTTTCAATACTGGAACATGGTATTAAGGTCTCCTATGAGACACCTTTTCTTAAGGCCAAACAAACCCAGTTCTCTCAGACTTTCCTCATATGGCTTTCCAGTCTGTGGATCATCTTTGCGTCCCTTCTCTAGACCCTCTCCAGCTTGTCCTCATCTTTCCTGTATACTGGGGACCAAAACTGAACACAGTATTCTAGGTGCAGCCTGACATAAAGATAAAAGATAAATCCCTTTATGTCCACATCTGCATCTGTTCTCAAAAAGAAATGAAATATAAACACAGCCAGTGAGGAATGAGAATCTTATGTTTTTTCCATACTTGTTAACCCACAGAATGACAAGGAACCTGATTTATTGATGCATCTCACCTTCCAGCAGCAAATTAATTTCAGGTGGTCTCTAATGTGTGACTACATGAGCACATGGACTCAAACAAACTGTAAGACAATTCCACTGGTAACTGCTCTGCTCTACCTGGCTGCCTTGACTCTGCCAGCTGCTCTTCCTGCCCACCCCTGAAATTGTCTGCTTAGATTCCACTGTTGGAGTTGTAAACTGGGCAAGTTATGTTTGTATGGACAAGTTTAAATGCACTCGGTCTGATGGAGCCTAAATAGAGACCTTAAGATCTGGTCATTACTGAGATTCAGCTACCTGAAATCAAGGGTTTCTGTTCACTTCATTGTGCTCTATTCCACTGTTGCCTGCTGATCTAAGATGGTTTCCCTCAAGAAAGGAACCAAAGGGGGAAAGCAACAGTCTTGATCAAAAGATTATTATTTTTTTTTTGACTGCATTCTAAATAGTAATCATAGAATCACAGAATGGTTTCAGTTGGAAGGGACCTTAAAGCTCATCTAGTTCCAGCCTCCCTGCTATGGGCAGGGGACCTTAAAGCTCATCTAGTTCCAACCTCCCTGCCATGGGCAGAGCACCTTCCACTATACCAGGCTGCTCAAAGCCCCATCCAACCTGGCCTTGAACACTGCCATGGATGGGACAGCCACAGCTTCTCTGGGCAATCTCAGAGTTGCTGTGCCAGTGTCTCACCACCCTCTTAGTAAATAAAATAAGAATAAAAAAAGAGGAGATAGGGAATTTAGTCTAATATCATTGAATCCATATTGAGCCTCCATGTTATTGACAGCAGACCTACGCTGGACTGGCTTGATGCATCCTGAGTACTACAGTACTGTTTTGCCCTCATACCCAGCTGCATTAGTATTAGTTACCACCATTTGTCTTTGCTGTAGAAGGTACGTAATCAGCAAAAAGATGTGAAGGTCTCCTGGCCACATGAGCTGCTCATGGGTAGGGTAATCATTTCAATAATTACAACACAGGTTACTCAGCTATCACACATGTTGCATAAAATAAACCTCAGTCTTGACAGACAAGTTGTAATCTAGTTTCTCTTGAGGCTGAAAGGGTTGTACCAGCAGTAACCAGGGGCAACAAAAGATTACTGCGACATACTTACTGTTGTGAGTTCTTCATATTTAATAACATGGATAGATTATGTGTAGAGTTCTTTTCAGGAGCAGGTCAGGATGTATTAAGCCAGGGAAGAAAGTGTATGCGTTTCTTTTTATGTTATGTGGATGAATCAAAAAATGGGGAGATAGGAAACTCTGTGAAACACACTGTTAACGCAGCCAAAGGAACCAGAATTCCCTGCAAAACAGCGTGATGTTTCCTTGAAACAGAGCTGTCTTGATCAAAGGCAAAACCTCCCTCCTGGGCCAGCGAGAGGATAGATGGCTTGCTTCCGAGGGACTGTGCTTCAGTTCTCTGCACTGTACATCTGCTCCCGCTGTATTTTGGTATTTATTTGATATTTATAGTTGCATAAATATATTTATTATTTCATATTTATGGTTGGAACTGTTATTAACTCAGATGATTGCCTTAAAGAAGTGATTAAGCAGTATCTGACTTTTTTATAAGCTAATTACGTTTACTTCTAGGACAGAACTGCTTCTGGAGACTCTGGCTTCGCAGTTTTTAACTGTACCTGAGTCAAACCTGAGTCTGGCTCAGAGCGGGATTTTGTGATGCAAAGCCACTCCCAGAATCGATTTCCTGCGTTGCTTTGGAGTTTGTACACCAGGAGGAGATCAGAGCCAAGCTGTAGTCAGCTGCACATGATGCAGCATGATGCAGCCTCCTGCTTGCAGGTTCTGTATCTATTTGCACCTGAAGGTGAGCGTTTGAAAGAGTGAGAAATCTTTGATTTGTCCAAAGGTGTATTTGCTTTACCGGGGTGAGGCTATCTTGCTTATGTAGGGTCTGACTAAACATTCAGTTTAAAACCCCCAAAGTAATAAAACTGGGACAGCTGGTTTAGCATCGATTATTCAAACTCAAATTTTGCACAATAAACCTTTCGTAAACTCTGCAGCTTTAACAGTAACCTGTGTAGGTTCCTGGGCTGTCCAGGCAGGATATTCCACCACGGCTGCATGCTTTTGTAATGTGACAAAACGTAATACAGTCACCTAGGGAAGCTGGGGGTGAGCCCTCGCCATGATTAATGGCAGTAGCTAAGGCAAGAGAACAAGTTCCATTTGAAAATGCCCCTCTCTTCTTTCCTGGAACCTACAAACTTCAGTCCCACAGCCGACCGTGCTGTGGGTACGGTCTGTAAAGAGCAGGTAGCCGTCGGAGCTCCCCCTCTGAGGGTGCGAGCGCAGGCCCGCCCCTGGCCTCGCTGCGGGGAAGGCGAGGCGCCTCGTCCGGAACGCCCCGGCGCGGCTGGTCTCAGGCCCTAGGAGGGGCTTCCCGCGCGGCTCCCGGCTCTCCGCTCCGCTGCCCCGCCGAGGAGGCGGAAGAGGAGGCGGGCGTTCTGCGGTGCCTGCCGCGGCCACACATCCCCCACTCACCCAGAGCGGGGCCGCCCATCGCGAGCCGGAGCCGACGCTGTGGCTGCGAGGAGACGCAGCCGCTATCGGCGGGAGGAGTGATGCCCTGCCCCGCCTGGCTGGCGGCCGTGCGGCGGCGGCAGCCCCGGACGCAACGGTAACGGCTGCGGCGGGCGGGGGAACGGGAGGGGGACATCGCGTTCCCCACGGCGGGGCGCGGTGAGGCTGAGGGGGCGCGCGGCCTCCCGGGCAGCCCCGCCATTGACAGCCGGCCCTGACGGCGGGTCGGGATGCAGCGGGAGTTGCTAACGCATGTGCTCAGCTGCAGTTTTCGTGTTGGTCACTTTTCTCTGTCAGCATAATCTCAGACTCTTACCGTGTAGGGCCAGCAAGCTGCGAGCTTGGAAGCAAATGAAAATATTTCCCTGAAAGCAGCAGTTGTTGCCCTTGCTTTGCTCCTGCTGAGTATCCCTGAAAGGCAAAAACTGCCAGCAGGGAGCGTCTGGAAGTGCTGGAGGACCTTCCACGTTCCCCAGCAGCTGGAAGGACTGCAACTGCGCCAACTCCAGGCAAAATCGCAGCTTCTAGACTTTACATATTCAGACTCATTGCTTTGGTTTAAGCATTTGAAATAGGGTTTCTCCTTTGCTTTGCCCTTTTGTTCTTTTTGCCTGTATTTGCAGAGTTCTCACTTAATGATGCTGGAGGATGGCTGCCTCTATGTTGAATTCTCAGCGCTGCAAAACCAGCTGTCTCATGTTTTAGGGAGTGTGGTTTCCACCCCATGACCATTCTAAAAGCTGTATTTTGGTGAACCTGTGGTAGCTTGCAAACTGTTTAGCCTGTCACTGGAGAAATGAGACCTTAAGAAAGAGAACCGCAAGGTTTGTGGAGGCAGGACTTTGGCCTCCTCGAGAGTCGCACAGCAAAACAGCGCTTTACGCTGCTTGTCCTCGATGCCCTGTGGCTGTTTGTAAGGATACAGACTTTTTTAAGATTCCATCTTGCATAGTGTGAGCAAAGGACAAAAATTGATGATTTATTTTCCCAGATTTTTTATTGTGTAGCAGCTCATGTCGTGATTCTGTTGTTCAGAATGTCATGTAATCAGTCTTTTTTGCCAGTAAAAAATCAAAATACTTATAATCAGATTTTTTTTTTTTCATTAGGTAGTCAAGGACTAATCAAATTTTGATGTAATTTACTTTAAATCGATCATCAAACCCCGAGAAGTATTATTTATATAAAATCAAATACTTAAGTACTGATACAAAACTAAGGTTGTTTTCTTTGAGTACGTGTTTTTCATATTGTTAACTGAGAGTCAGGTTGGTATATATAAAGAGAGAAGAACTCAGCATTTTTATTACTTTTTTCTTTCCGTAAAACTAGGGATTAAATACCAGACTGGCAACTCTGAAGGGTTTTTTATTATTAGAATCAAAGTCCCTAAATGCGGTTTGAACAGCCTCAATGATACTTTATTTTGCACTATCAAACTTCTGTTTTACTTGCGTATGTCTAATCTATATGGAGAAAAACAAGTGAATGAGCATGAAACCTCTAAGGTTTTGTGTTTTTATAAGGTAGGACATCAGTCACATTAGGAAGTTCTTAATAACGTGCTAATCTGTGGTTATATTAGGTACCTTTAGTGCAGGGTTGACTCCTGATTGTCACTTGGTATTTCTTAAGTAACTCAGCCTTGAAAGGGATCAGTCTGAAATTATTTTCTTTAAATAGCTATTTGCATAAAATTGCTTTAATGCATTTTAAGTGATGTGCTTTGTGTCATCAGTGAAATGTGCTCCAAATGCTTCCTTTAAAGGATCATTCATTTAAAGTCAGATCATACCCAGAAATACAAGGCAGGTGGGCTCTGGCAAATCAAATTCATCTAAATTCTAGCATGCTATCTTGGGGTTTGGATTTATTTATTTTTTTAATATAAAACATTTTAAAGCCCTGCAGTGATCTTTGTAAAGATAAGTTAAATAGTAATTAATTGTGCTGTGAAATTGAACCCTTCATCACCCTTACTGTGGCTTTGTGGATACTGTATAGCACAGGATAAACATTATTACTGCAAACATTAGAAATCATTTGGAACTGCCATGGTAAGACATTGTAATTGTTTTGTTTTCAGGAGTACAGTAAAAGTAAGCACTGCTAAATGGAGGGTGCAGGCCTGAAGTTCTGTTTTTACATTTAGTTTTGGCAAGACAAATTGGTGTGAGTATCTAATCCTGACTGTGTAGTAGTGTCTTCAGGGGTTTATACCTGTGCAGTTCAGACTCTGGACCAAGACATGTGTCTGTAGTCAAAAAACGGCTTTGGTTTGTCTTCGTCTCCAGTGCCGACTGTGGTTTTTGGTGTGTGTGGTGTGTCTGATGGAGCTGAGAAAATTCATTGTTTTTTCGGCAGATGGGTAGGGGTTTGCATAAAAATAATGCAGATGGAATTCTTCTTCTTTAAAACCTAAGTAGATGGAAGTAGTAGGATTTTGTAGTGTCTTGTTTGTTTAAATGGAAAACATTAATTTACAAAATTTCTGTAAGATTTGAAATTCATGGGCTGCGGTGGATTCCCTGCTGCTCCCATTATGCCATATGTAAAGCTGCCATGACAAAGTTGGTTGCAATGCCCCTTTACTCAGTCTCTTAGAATCATAGAATGGTTTAGGTTGGAAAGGACCTTAAGGTCATCTGGTTCCAACGGCTCTACCACCTCCTTTGACACAGCCCAGGATACAGTTGGCTTTCTGGGTTGCAAGTGAGCACTGTTGGCTCATGTTCAGTTTCGTGTCGACCAAATAATAAGCACCTATTAGAAAATAAACGATTGCTGTTCAGTGTTGTGTGTTGTGAAAGTAGCCATTTCTTTGGGCGGTGTAAGAGCTGTCTGTCAAGATACATTTGTGTTAGCATGTCTGTGGCTGTGATGTTGTTCATAAGGAAGCTGATTTTTCTCCTCCTCCATCACCTCTTCAGTCAATTTAGAACAAGTAGATGTTCAGCTGTTAAAAAAGAGATGAAATATTTGCTTGTATTTCTCTTTTTACCTGCTTTCTTGGCCAATTTGCTGCAGCTTATCAAAACCAGTAGGAATTCCTTGCTTTAAAATAAATCACAGTTTTTTGAAGCCTCTGAACATCAACTTGCTGAGCACTTTGTAGCAGTTGGGTTTTGTTCAGGGTATTCCTCCCTTGAGATTTAATTGAGTCAAAGAGATTGTGCTGAGATATCTGAGGTCACAGTGCTTGCTGTGTGATCAGATTTACGTAGGGGGAATTTCCAGGATGAAAGTCATGAGATCTCGGTCCACGCTGTGCTCAGGAGTTGCTCAGTGCTCTGCTTATACTCATTTCTCAAATACAGTAGCAGTTCCTGTTATGCAGGGTGCCATATGTAACAGCTGGACCAACGGGTCTGGTACTTGTCTTCATTATATTACAGCATACGCTCAACTGACACTTGACAAGATAAGAAAAATATAATATTTGAATAATAGCATTCTGAAGACTACTTTTCAATTTCTTTTTCAGCAAGAAACGTGTCTCAGGACTTGTGGTACGGATTTTGAAGGTCACTGACGCACTTCTGCAAACCGGTTATTGCTCAGATCCAGTGAGTGTTGTGTACATGAGACCATTAAAATGGATTTTTTTGTTTCTTGTTGTATTTTCTGTCACAGCAATGTGGTACGTGGCTTTTTCTTCCAACACTGTGATTAAGCATACAAACCTCATGTATTTCTATGAATATGAACCAGTTTACAAGCAACATTACCTCTTCACGTTGCGGGAGCGCTTGAAATGCAAAGACATAAATCCATTTCTGGTCATCTTGGTGTCTTCACGTCCTGAGGACGTGACGTCAAGGCAGGCCATCAGGATGACATGGGGGTCTCAAAGCTTCTGGTGGGGACATCGAATTCTAACCCTGTTCTTACTAGGTCAAGATTCTCAAAGAGAAAACAATGCTGCAGCCCTGTCAGTAGAAGATGAAAGCATCCTCTATGGTGACATAATTCGCCAGGATTTTATGGACACTTACAACAATCTTACCTTGAAAACAATCATGGCATTTCGGTGGGTCACTGAGTTCTGTTCAAACACTAGGTTCCTCATGAAGACTGATACTGATGTCTTCATCAACACTGCTAACTTGATAAAATTTCTTCTGAAGCTAAATTCATCAGAAAATATTTTTACTGGTTATCCTCTCATTGATAACTTTGCTTACAGAGGCTCTTACCAAAAAACATACATCTCGTATGATGAATATCCATTCAGATTGTACCCTCCGTATTGCAGTGGGATGGGCTATATCCTAGATGGAAAACTGGCCCTGAGAATTTATGAATTGATGAGTCATATCAAACCTATTAAATTTGAGGATGTTTATGTTGGAATTTGCTTAAATCTGCTTAATGTGAACATCAGTATTCCAGAAGATAACCAACAATTCTTTCTTTATAAAATTAATTTTGACATCTGTAAGTATAGGCATTTGATTGCAGTACATGGCATTACATCAAGTGAAATAATCAGGTTTTGGCAGGATTTGTCATCAAACATTTCAGTTATTTGTCTTTGATTCTGTGTGAACACATAAAGTGACATGTATTTAATGTGAAAAGGTCCAGGGCAACACCGAACAAAACCACAGCTGCAGAGATGGCTTCAACTGAAGGAGGGCTGCACTGCTGGGGCAAAGTGCAGTGACAGCATTTCTCTGTGACTTTCTGCTACTGTGAAATAAAGTTAGGAATTCACAAAGCACTTTTCCATGTACATACCCTGTGCATGCAGGATACTTTGGAATACACCACCCTAACTTCCTCTGCTGCTTCTCTATGTGATCAGCTATAGCTACAGGGGTTCTACCTGAATCATCTGGAGTATATGAAATGTCACCAAGGAATAATGCTTATGCTAAGAAACTGGGTTTGGAGATGCTTCCCAGATTCCTGCCTGGATTGCTTTAATTGGCTGTACAAGTACATCATCCTTTGCCACTTTCAAGTATTTGTTCTGTGTCCATTATGAAGCTTCTGCTGCCCTTTTTCTTTCACTATATCACCACTGTAGTTGTCCCAAGAGTTTACACCTTCTTATTTAAATGTATCACATCTGAAATTGCTCTGGGAGTGTTACAAGCCTGTGGACCTTGTGGGGTCTGCAGAAACTGATGGGAAATTCTGGGAATGGGATGCACTCTGTGTGTGTGTGCCTATAGATGGAAAAAACAGAATTACCTTGGTGTCATCAGTAATGTTTGTAGCCTACTAGAGGGCTAGATGCAGTAGAGTTCACACACAGTTTAGTTACTAGACATCTCTAATACATCAGGATAATCAAACCCCATGTATGTACACACCTACATGTGTGTACTTCTGCATGGGAATTTTCGAACCACATCAGGAAGATTCAAATATCATCATTTATAATGTGACATTTTTTAGAAACATCTCTCTCTAAAAAGAGCTTTCTTCAAATTTTAAAATTAAAAAGGTAAGAAATGCTAAAATTTGTATTTCATAAAGAAGACAAACTACTGTATCTGTAAAGACAGGTATTTTAATCACTTTATTCATCTCAGCAAGGCCAAGTTTTCAGTAGTTTACACTTCTAATAGACAACACTACAGAATTTGCAACTGCATTAACATAATTATTTTTGACACATCCACTACACAGTGAAGATACTATAGTTGCATCCTGTACACCTAGAATGACACCTTGTTTGTCCTACAGCTAGGATGGTACCGTGTATTTACATTTGGCTGTCTTTCAGCTAGTCTCTTAGAGACGAATTAGAAGAGGTGCAGAAACCTCTAGTACCAAGTTGGAGGTTTTACCAGTTTTTTTGTTACATTCTGATTATGGTCAGTATTGAATTTTGCTACCTTATCATCTACTGCACATGGGCTTTTGATGGAATTACAGGAAGTGTTATATTTTTTAGATACAAAAATGAGGTCCTGGGGACCATACTCTCTAAACAAGTATTTCAGATGTCACTGTTTTAAGAATGTATGTTAAGTAGGTCAACACTTTTCAAAAATAGGTATTTTTTTTTAGTTAAACTAAATAGCTGAAGATACAGTATTGCATAATGGAGGGAAGAATGCTCTTCTGTTTCTCAAAACAGAGGTAAAAACACAGCTGTTCCTGCAGGCTTAGGATCTTTTCTTTGATTGTTGTACTGTGATCAGATCCCGAGAGCTCCGTGAGAAATCTGTCACTTGTTCTTTGATTGTTTATACATCTTAAGGAAAATCAACCTGCTTTTTTTTTTTTGTTATAGGCCTTCCATGTTAAATGTTAAGAAATCAGTTATTTGTCACAAGAACACCGATGCTACCACAGTTTGTATTGCTTTTTCAAAAGAAAATAAAAAATGTAATTATGAGAGACACTGCAGTCTTCAGAAGCTGGTTGGCTGAAGCAGCCAGTGCTCCTGCTGAGAGACCCAGAACCCACAGTCACAGAGAGGTGGCTATGGGCAAAACACAGCCATCACTAAGATGCCAAGCAAGGTAATTTTTAGTATTTGTGCCCCACAATGATAATGCCAGTCATAGATTACAGGGGTTTTGCTCATACACAGTGACCTGTTTATGCCACCTGAAATTATCATGTAAAGTGACATCAATTCTGCAAGAAATGTACGGTGTAAAATATTCCTGCTCATTTTTTTTTTTTTTTTAAATATTTTCATTTCCAAATCTGGCTTGTATTTGAGTCTGACCTTATTATTGCTTAAAAGACTGTAAAAATTCACAACTAAGCTCTAATGTTTCTGTTTAAAGCAAATATCAGGGAAGTTTCTAGTGTGAGCAGCCATGCAAAAGATAAAAAAAGCTTAAGAATGTGAAGTAGTACAAGCATTGAAGTCAGTGGCGGGCCCAGATTTTATTGCGTTTGCCTACAATATTGTACTAAAACTGAAGCCTAAACCACAGGCTATGAGTTCTCCAAATACTCAGATTCTTTTTCTCATGCAGGCAAGTGGTTCAGAAAGCTGTATTAAAGCAGAATTCCAAGCAGTTGTGACTGATAAGGAAAAGCATGGGGCTTTCCGACTGGAAAAACTTAATGACAATCTATTGGTCAAAATGCTTGGAACTGCTGCTGGCTGGATCAGAGAAGGGGTTTAAAATGTAAAATTTTGAGCCTGTGCTTCTTGTACTTCTCTATTCCAGAAGAGTTAGAAAGTCAAATGCTTAAATGTTTTGTGTGCATTCTGGAACAAACAAGTTCAAAATCACCAGTGAGACAGCATGTGCTGCAAACTTTGGGGTGTTATTATCTATGATCAGTATCAGCAGAACATGACAGATTGGAATATATTTCTAAGCTTTGTTTCACCTTTTCTAGTTACTAGTAAAGCATTTCAGTGACAGTTCATTGCAAAGACCTCACAAATGCCTGGATGCACAATCAAGAATGTAAATTTATTGTATTTCTTTTAAATTTAAACTAAAAACTGATAAAGGTTAACTGAATGATGTGACACTGAATTCCTGATCTATCAGTTATGTTAGATATATTGAAGGAGTTTGGGAGGCAGAGCTTTGCTCTGCAGTAGTGAGTAGTGCCTACATTTATTATGGACTTTACAGTTTGCCTAAGACAGAGGTGGTAGGGCAAAGCTTTCTGCACTCTGTTCAATTAAGGTCATCAGGTTTTAATGCAGATACTGTGTATTAGATTACTATACTAGATGTACTGTACTCTATTAGATGTACTGTACTGTATATTTTAGATTGGATATAAGGAGGAAGTTCTTTACTGTGAGGGTGGTGAGGCACTGGAATGGGTTGCCCAAGGAAGTTGTGAATGTTCCATCCCTGGAGGTTTTCAAGCCAGGTTGGACAGAGCCTTGGGTGACATGGTTTAGTGTGAGGTGTCCCTGCCCATGGCAGGGGGGTTGGAACTAGATGATCTTAAGGTCCTTTCCAACCCTAACTATTCTGTGATTCTCTTAAGCTGCAAACCACAACCAAGTGCAAGTGCTCCGGGCAGGAAGGAAGACGTTAAAATGAAGCTAAGCAGGTGGTTGGGTTTGGTTTTCGTGTATAGTTGAGTTCGTATTTTGAAGAAACCTGAAACTGTAAAACAAAACCAGACCTACCCCACTCCACTTATATATTGATTGGGTTTCTAAAACTCCTAAAGCCCCGTCACTTCACAGGACTAAAGAATACGTAGTCTCTCTCTGAAATGCTCTGTGTGATTCTTAGATAAATGCAGTATTGACCTGCAGCTCGCAGGAGGAAATACTACCTGTAGTACAGTTTGCCTTATCTGCCCTTACGGGATGTTGTGACTTAGTTTTCCTTCTATAAAATAAGGTCTTAAAAATAGAACATTTACTCCCAGCACCCTCTCTTGAGATGGTTCATGTATCTGAGCTCTGCCTGACGCCAGTCTTCTGACAGTTGCTGTGCAGCATGTTAGTTTTCCAGACCACACTGATACGAGTGACCTGCATGAGGTTTAGAGAGGCTGGCATGTGGGCATCACATCCATCTGGTTGGGCTGGGCTGGGGCTCAGCCCAGTACCCTGCCGCTCCTCTCAGCCATGCTGGGCCTGTAGCAGTCCTCCACCTAGGAGTAAAGTGCACTCTGCCGTGAGCTGGCAATACAGATAAAATCTTAAACACATGTCTGGCTTGGAGTGAATAAATGTTACTAATCAGCCTGAAAAGGCTCGTAACCTTTGATAATGCAGCCCTGTTGCACTGAATGGAAGCTGCCCTTCACCAAGATGGAAGCCTAAATGTTGCAGTTTTGTTATCTTGGGTGTTGTGTAGGATTTTTGTTAATAAAGTTCTGACCTGCCCTTTTAGAATTCTGAATGTGTGGTTCATTTTCCTAATGCATCCATCTCAGTCATTTCTGAGGGAGCATTTCCAGGTGTGCTGGTAGAAGTGGGTTTACAGTCGCTTGGTGTATCCACACAGTCTGGGTTTTAAAGGTTTTGCAGACCCTGCTCCTGTTCACTTTGTACTTAACGGTTACACCACTGTTACAGTTTGCCATGTTAAAGGTAAATGGGTTTGAACTTTATAAAAATTGATTGTACTTGTAAATCCAGCACAGCTAAGCACTGCTTATGGTTTGTACTGAACTTACGCACCTAGGAGCGATGCACCAGAGAACAGCAGAGAGATTCAGTATGGATTGGAACTACCTTCAAAGAACTCTTCCCAAACTCTTCCTGTGACTCTTAGTGCTACTAAGATGAAAGCAAGCACAGATAAGCACAGTTTCATCTGTATTGTTCTCACACCCCTGCATATGGTGTATGAATTGCTGGGGAGCAATGCTTGACCGCCCTGCATTTAGATTTCTGAAACATAACCAATTATTCATTTAATTAATGTGGTGGAATGTGGGCTGGAGTAGAGTTCTGAGCATGTGTGTCCCTAGAAGTACGGATGCATCTCCACAGGACATTTAAGAGAACAAAGGGTTGGCCATTTAAATACAGAAAAAGTGCACTTTATTTATTGCTCAGCTAATTTAGTGTTTTCCTTGCGCCTGAGCAGACAAGACCAAACCCAGGAGCTGACCTGCTCCTGAACCTGGGTTTCAAAACTTCACTCAAGAATTGCTCATGATATGAACCACTATTTACAGGTCTGGAAAGGCTTCAGCTGCTTTGACTGCACACATCCTGAATAACAGAGCATCTAACTCATCTTCTGTAACTAGAGACAGCTGATACCGAGAACTTTCGGTTACCTAAGGGAAACCGTAAGTAAAACAGCTGCTACCCAAGCCTTATATAGTCAGCACTATATAAAGAAAAGTGATTTAATCTCCAACTCAGTATTAACTTAATTGCATATATCTTTTCAGGTACAGGTCTGTGGGTTTAGAAAGGTGACTTATACTGACAACACTGAGGGGCAGCAGCTCTGGTCTGTGCAGTTGCCAGGCTTCAGTCGAACATTCTACATTTTAACCTCACAATTTCATACAGCCAGGTTTCAGGCTGGAGGCGTAAAAACCTGCTTTAGGAAGCGAAAGGCTGGTGAGGGGGTTTATTCTTTTGTATAATCACTTGCTAGATCTTTCTCTGTGTAAAGTATCTGATACTATCGATACATTACTGTTATTTGAGGCAAACGTTACATACTCTGAGGGCAGCTGAGCAATGTAACTTCCTTATTTTCAAGTCCAGCATTAGTGTTTAGACAGGAAACCCTGTTGGTTCAAGCTGATGCAGTGCTTTAGTACTAACTTTTGCATTCCAAATGCTTCACGACTATTTATTTTTAAATTTTACCTTATGTAAATGGTATAATACTGTAATGATCTTAGCAGTGGTTTGGTACTGACCTTATGTTCACAAGTTAGTAGGCAATACCTGCTGCTGGATGGAATTTGCTTTATAATCAAATTTTGCTCAGTAAAACAGGCTCATTCATTTCAAATTCTGCATTTTTAGAAACCGTAGGACCACAGCAGTCCTCATGGCGTCTTCTGTGGCCACCCCTCCCCTGTGAGACAGGATCAGTGTGCTCAGACCACTAGTACTGGATGTTGTGACAGAAGACATAGCATTATGTTTCATATGAAATGAAATAGCATCTCCTGCCACCCTGGGGCTAGGGATGGATTCTGGCCTCCCCTAAGGTCGATTGCTATGGTCTGTGTAAGCTGCACTGATGCCAAAAGTTTAGATCCCACAAAAAATGCATTCAATGATGTGAAGGCAGCCATGCTGGCAGGTGAGCTGGCTGAGGACACAGGGTAGGACTGAGAGGTGTCCCAACTTCTTAGTAGCTGAGTATCTGCGTTTCTTAGCTGATACTTAGCCTGTGGATGCACTTGCACAGCCTGCACTGCTTCAGCACTGCTGTAGAATTCAGCCTGAGATAGCGGCTCTGCATCAACCTCACAGCAAACTTCTGTGCAAAGGCCAGTGGGGTCTTCACATTTTTCACAGCGACTAAGACAGCAACTCGTAACTTCTGAGGCCCGCTGCTTGGTTACCATGCTCAGGCCAGCCACTAGACGGAGCTACGGTCTCACGTAACGAGGCTGGTTCCAAGACCTGGGATCCCCGCGATGGTACCAGGAGCTGCGCAGGGTGAAGGTTATATGGAAGGTCCTATGGATGAACAGCCTTTCAAAAAAACCACTGGTGTATGGCAAGAACGATACACTCAATGGTAGTCTATAACCAGGAGGAGAAGCGAAACGGTGGTAGCTTTAAAGTGTACTACTTGAGTTAAACTGCAATATCACTGGGCAAAGCTCAACTTCTTTCAAGTAGTGGATCAGGTGACTAATTACAAGGTGCACTTTTTCATATAGAACCATATGAAAGATGCTCTTTGGCAGCAACTTAATCCAGCAGTTTTCTGCTATGTGATACTCTTACTTGCTGAACAGATGTCACCAATGGAGCTACTCGGGCTTAAAGCAACAAAACCCACCCATGAGCACGTACAGCAAGAGGGAGCTCTCAGATGGGTACAAGCTGCTTTAACCAAAATGTCTCTCCCTTTTTCTGGAGAGGTGCCCAGGCAGGAAAGCAGCCTGGAGAATGGTGTGCTGAAAGTGCTCCCTCTCTGATGCTGCAGCACATTCTGACATACTACTTGAGCGTACTTGGGGTGTTTCTGGCTACAGTGTCTGGTTACCCTTCCAGATGTAGGGTACAGATTAAGGCAGTGGAGGATCAGCCCCCATATTGTTTAGGCTGCATAAGCAATACATACATTAATTAATCTCATTGTCCAACAGTTGCATTTATCACAACAGGATTTGGCACAAATCAGCATGACTGGAAAGATACCAGTGTCTAGGTCTGGAGTAAAAACTTCTAGCAGGGAGCATACGTAGGCACTGCACATGTATGTGGAAGCCTGCACAAGCCTCTCATCTCTGCTAAACCTTCATCTTTAAACCTGAAGTAGCTTTAGCTATTTTTTTTAAATAACAAAACCAAAAGCATCTTTACCAGAAATCATTGGCATGAATGTCTTTGGCCACGAAAGAGTTATTAGAAAGGTGGGAGTGTTGCAGAGAAAACTGAAGGTGCTAAAACAGCTGTTGCTGCAACTGCAGATGCTGGAAGGTTGAAATAGGGCTGATGGGGTAACTGACTGGATGGGCCTATGAATGGCAGGGTGAATGAATCTGGAATAAATATTCAGATGAGTCTGCAAAACAGTTCTGTAGTGCACTGTGCTGTGTTTTCCTAAATTCCATGAGCATGGCTTACTTCCAGAGCAAGCCACCCTCCCACTGCTTCCCCACAGTTCTTCGGGAGCCTGTGAACATGCAGGATTCCTGACACCTCATTCTGTGTATCTTGAGTGCCGAAGCAACCAGGCAGTGAGCTGTGCTCCAGGGCAGGTCAGCATCTCTCAGCAGCACTCACTAACCTCAAGCACATGAGCTGCAGGAGGCTGAGTGGCAGCTGCGAGCCTTTTGCTCAGTGGTGTTAGTCTACTATGGTTGTTTTTTGGAGCTGACCATTGTCCCAGTTCCAACTTCTCAAATGCCTGCGATGGATTAGCGGTGATGTCCCTGCTACACAAGCATTCCTCTGCTTTAGGGTTCTGTAGGCTGCTGGGTCTAAATCTTCTGTTCCCTGGGCAGCTGTTTTGACAAGCGTCCAGCGGTGTCCTCCAAAGAAAAGCCAGTACAACAGAAACATCGTCTGTGAAGGAGAAAGGAAAGGCAAACGCAAATACGCACCATGAGCTCTGCCTGGAACAGTTTCGATACTGCTGCTGTAGCATTACTGAGTACATGATTAAGCACTCCCATGAAAATATCACACAAGGATTTAATTTCACAGCGTTCTGACCTCAAATACCTTTTCAAAATAAAATAACTGAAGCGCGCTGTCATTATTAACATTTCCCGTTAGCTGCTCAATTTAACCTCAAAGTTGCATTTAAAATTCCCCGAATGCACTGTTCAAGAGATTTAAGAAGTCCGCAGCCTTCGTCCTCCAGGGAAGGAGCGGTGCAGGCTGGGGCCTGCCGGTTTTGGAGGATGCTGGACACTTTCACACTTCTGCTTTTCACTTGTCTGTTACTTGGAGTCAAGGGGCTCTGCCCAGAGTCTGAGGTGAGAAGAGGCTGCTAGAGTATACGATACAATTTGAACAGCACTGGTAGTAGCTATAGATCTGACTAAGAGTTGTGATAACTCTCCAAACAAATGAAAGGAGGGAAGTTTCCTGGGGAAGAGATAACCTAGGAACAAAAATGAAAAGACTAAGATGGGAATTCCTGCTCATGCAGGAATTTGTCCTCTTTCATTTCTGTCTTGAGATACACACCTGCTCAGCACAACCACAACACATCATGGTATTCTGGGGACCAGCAAGCCACTTGCCCCAAAATCCTGTGGGTGGGTGATGAGAAACAGGTGTCTGTTTAACCAAGTCATGTTATATCTTTACCCAAGGAACAGATGATGTTAGTTAATGCATTACATCCCTGATTCCTCTCAGGATGCAAATACCAACAGCCTCCATCACCTTGAAGACAAGAGACTTCAGCAGATTGTCCAGGACAATATTTTGCAGGGAGGGAATCCCCAGGGTTATTATAGAACACAATACCAGTAAAGCAGGCATCTGAGACACTCACCTCCACCTCAGGCCGTGGCTGTTCCTCAGCACACAACTGCCCTGCCACTCTGCCACCACTGCCTCTCGGTCATGAAGCAGGCAACTAAGTTACCAGATGTAGAGCAAACTCTTGACACTCATTGTTTAAACTTACAGTAGTCACAGATTCCAAAATACAATTAAATACTGAAAGTTAGATCTAAACACAGTTTTATCTAGACCTAACACAAGCTTTTATCTCTCCAGTGCAAGGCCACTGCCTGGCATTTATATGCCATACCAAACAACGGTTCTACGGTGGTTTTCCCCTGAATTAGCACCACTGATTAATCTGCAGTGGTACAAGGAAGTCATTAATAGCCCTGACTTCCACCTACGTCACTCTCAGGAATGCCCTATTTTCATTAGTTTTCCAAACAGTCACTAACAAAGTGAATTTTACCTTGCATTACTTTCTTTACATGCCTATGAAAAGTCCATGCCAAAAAAATAACATGAGTTTCCAGGAATGACCAACATTCTTCTATCACAGCAGAGCTATTTTTTGATATAGAGGGTGTCAGACCTTAAAGGTATTTTGCTGAAGTTTAACATTAGCTGGTTTGAATACAATATGGCATAGAAGGAATGTTACCAGAGTAATGCACAGACTGAATAAACGTGGCTTCAGGTAATTCAGTAGCTACACCTAATCACATGCTTGGTGGGGATTTATTTAAGGGAAGGGTGAGGTTAAACAAAGCAAGAGAGCCAGTTCTGTGGTAGCAGGCTAATATTTGGCTCCTTTTCCTCCTTCACATCAATACCAGGCCAATAATCACAAACCTTTTCCTATACAACCTTATCACTGCAGATTAAAAAAGAAAAGAGATGAGAAACATGACACCGTCATTCTGAGGCGTCCCACCTATGAGTGAAGAGTAGCATCACTCCTATCATTTGCTGTTAAATGACAGCACAGCCCTGACCTGGCTGTGTGTCTAAATGAACCTCTGACTGCTCGAAATGAGAGGAAAGGGATCAAAGGAAAAGTCTACAAAGGATTTGTGAGGAAAATTCTGAAATGGAAGATTACAGTTAGCTTCTCAGGAGCAGCAAGGTCACAGAAGACAGGTACATGTGAACAAACTTAATTCTTATAATCACTCAGAATGTATTTGTTGTATTGCTCCTTTTGTTAAGCAAAGAACAAAGACCAGAGGGATCTGTTCCTTTTGTGTAGAATCTTAATGGTATTTACTAGAGCTTTCTACTATGTTTAAAATTTAAGAGTTTGGTTTAAGTTCAGAGCGAGGCAGAGAACGACTGGTAATTACTGTTCCTCTGTTTTGCTGCTATTCCTGAACTTCACCACCATCACTGTTATATTATCGGGACATCCTCTGTAAAAGGACTGTAGAACTATACTCTTTGCACCGAAGTGTGGTTCATCCAAGCGTTCCTTGATGAATCGGACAGCTTCCTCGTTGCTGAAAGCATCCCACAGACCATCCGACGCCAAGATCATGAACTCTGGCTGCAGTTTGTCCAGGTCAAAGGTAAGAATATCCGGGTCGGGAATGACAACATTCAGGTTCTTCAGAGGGTAATCTCCCAAGGAGCGGGACATGGCCAGGATCCCCTGAACGCGCCAGGAGCCATTGAAGCTGATAAAACCACCTGGAGGGAAACACCAACACTTAACGAAGGTCTTTTCAAAGTTAAAGCATTTCTTTGGCTTCCTGCCAGACCCACCCAAAAAATTCACCCTGCATATTATGAGGCATACGGATGTTACACATCTCAAAAAGCAGGAGATGCCTTCATGTAGATCTTGGAGCGCTGCAGGGAGGAGCTGGGTTGCGGCTGCTACTCTGCTGCCGCAGCTGAAGTAGAGAGTTCAAGAAAGGTTCTGCTTCTAAACACAGCAGCTTCATGCTCTCTACTCCCCAAGAGAGACTGACTACTTACTGAGCACAGGTATTCCTGTACAACAGAAAGCCTTACGGCAGTGTTAAAACAAAAATAGTGAAAGCAAATCTTTACATTCATGTGTCAGTAAAAACCTCCTTTTCCTGCGTAGTTCATGTTTTTCCCATTTCAGATCTGTGAAGGAAACAACACTGAAAACATGCTGCAGCAGGACTCACATCTCACTTTAAGCCATAAAGCAAAGAAGCAAGTGCAAGAATATTTATAGGCTGTTCTGTTCAACTGCCTTGAATGAGCTGTGTCAAAAAGGACCAAAAACTTGTGAACAAACCAACCACAAAATTTTACTTCAAGACAGAAGGAGGCCACGTGGGATTTGATGGACTGATTTTACCATCACAGTGATTAAGGCTACTTCTAGTTGAAAATACATGGTTTTATTTAGGGGTTAATTATAGCGAGACACATTTTACACTGAAATTGGTGACTCTGACACAGCCAGCACCTGGTTGCTACACAGTTGGGTTGTGTCAGGGAGGGAACTACACAGTATTCAAGGTCCAAGAGTAAAATTGAGGCACCTTCAATTCCCGTGCATACCTTGGTGTGCCACTGTCTGCACTGTGCATAGCAATGTTGCTATATGTGACATCCAGTGACTCGACATGGAACATTAAAATGTATGACAAAATGAGGTGAACTGTCATGTTTTATATCCGCAAGCTGTCTGCTTTGGTGTTCGTTTAAATGTTTTTGTTCTTTGTAGTTATCAGCATGCTATTTGTCAGTCCCCTAAATCTTACAAGAGCACTTCCATTCCTGTTTGGCTCATCTGATCCATAAATTCTTTCTGCTTTCAGGTGAAACTTAATGTCATGATTTGCTGTTTTTAAAGCTTGGAACTTGATTTGTGTTAAAAACAGCAGAAACAAAACCTTTTAGCTGGATGTTTTCATGAATATGGAGTCTCTGTTATGAAGGCATTTCATTCCACAGTCAAGAAAAGGAAGTACTTGTGAGCTGACTGTGACTCCTCTTAGATATGGAGTCAAACAAACCTCGTCCAGCTGCTGCTGTATCTTTTGAGGGTGCCTTGCTTATATGTTACACAGCCACCTACTCACCAGCCCAGGGTTTATTTCTGGTCTTAAATGGTTAGGACTATAGTAACTGGTATGTAATCATGTGTACGTATTAGAATGACAGGGGAAGTAAAATACAATTAAGAAGCAGCAGTTTTATATAGACATTTTAGACACAATTAGAGGACAGTGCAAGTATGCACTTGCAGCCCAGAAAGCATCCAGCTCTGGGGCCACAACATAAGAAGGATGCTGTTGGAGCAAGTCCAGAGGAGGCCACAAAGATGCTTAGAGCGCTGGAGCACCTCTCCTATGGAGACAGGCTGAGAGAGCTGGGCTTGTTCAGCCTGGGGAAGTGAAGGCTCTGGGGAGACCTTAAAGCAGCCTCCCAGTGCATAAAGGGGCCAACAAGAAGTCTGGAGATGGACTTTCTACAAGGGCACGTAGGGATAGGACAAGGGGGAATGGCTTTAAATTGACAAAAGAGAGATTTAGATGAGATATTAGGAAGAAATTCTTTCCTCTGAGGGTTGTGAGGCTGGAACAGGCTGTACAGAGAAGCCGTGGCAGCCTCATCCCTGGAGGTGCTCAAGACCAAGTAGGATGGGGCTTTGAGCAACCTGATCTAGTGGAAGATCTCCCTTCCCGTGGCAGGGGGTTGTAACTAGGTGGTGTTTAAGGTCCTTTCCAACCCAAACCATTCTGTGATTCCACATGATAGCAACACCTGTACCTCTCATGGTACTTGCAGAGGAGGTAGATGATGCTGTGCACTCACTGTGTGTGCTTACTGCAGCCTCTGCAGCTTGTGCTTACATGCACAAAGTGACTTTTCAGTGCCACTCTCATGTGGCACCTGGAACTGCCTGCAGCACAAGTTGAGCTCCTGTGGTTCGCTGAAGTGTCTATTGGCACTTCTAATATTTCCTTTCATAAAGTCACCTATACAGGATATCTAAAAATGCTTCTGGAAATGTAAACATTCTGTGGTGCTGGCTGACACTGGAGAAGGAAAGACATTAAAGAAATAGAAGCTTTTTGGCGATCACTCAAACATTTTGCATGTTAGTGAGAACTGAGCTCAGAGGATTATGTTCAAGGTGAATGACTTCAATTTCTATCAGTGACTGTCACCTTGTGTCTCTACAACTGAGTGTTTCTCCACAAGCCAAAACCGTGGCTGTTTCAAGGCTGCTGTCTTACACCGGTACTATATACATTGCTCAAGCTCATGATAAGGAGGAGTTTCCTTGTGTTTTCTGGGGAAACCAATATCCTTGTATCGCAGGACACGCATTTCCCCTTCCCACGGGAACAGGTCAGAGTGGAAGGAGCCTGGTCTCCTTCAGCTGCGAGATGATCAGCACCACAGCACCCTCGAGCATGCATCAGCCAGCCTCTTGTGAAAACAACAGCCAGGCTTGACAAAAGCCCATGACTGGTGGGTGCTGTAAACTGCGCTGCCACACTGCAGAGCCAGCAACTCCACATGATGTGGCACCCCAGCACAAAATGGAGGGCCCTGCCCTGTGCTCTTAGCTGATGACTTTCCTTTTGGCATCTGGCTGTGAGCTTTGGTACCAGTGGCCTCTCACTGCAACGCGGAACCCCCATGAGAAACCTGAGCAGTGGCTTCTGGGGCTGCTCGAGTCCCACAGGACTGATAAAAGGGCATTTCTTTTTCTGGTTGTGGGTTGACCAAGACTTTGTGCACAGTTGCTGGGAATGGGGAAAGGAGAGGGAACAAATTGACTCCCATCCACTGCCCACTGACAGCAGCAAGCAGCAAGGCCCCTCAACATCCACCACAGCAGCCAAAAGTGATGGATTAGGTTAGAGTTGTCATCCCCATGTTAACACCCCACTGAAGCTCAGAGGGCAAGTCAGGCTTTTCTTTGAGCTGCTGTTTCAGGCTGCTTCAAGCTGATTTATATCAGAATGTGGTTGAGAAGGACATTTTCTCAGCCACAGCTGTATAATTTCACTTTTAAATTAAATCGAATCCTTCTAACACAAATATGAAGTCACTTTGTAACTACCTACAGTGCACTGGGCAGTGCACCTTGATGGTGCAATGTAATGCTGGAAAACCAAAATGTAACATAATGCTGTGGTTATTGTCCCTTTCTTGAGTTCTACAGGACAAGAAATTATCCAGATGGTGGAAAAGTCAAGTACTTGTCACAGTAGCAATGTAGGCAACCTAAAGTATCCAGGAGGAGTTTAAACTGGATTGTGTGTTTTTAAGCACTATGAGGCCATACTAATAATGATGATATAATGGTGCAATAGGGAACAGAGAAGAAAATTCATTAAGTCACGAGGCTAGATAGATTTTTTCTTGTTTTCTTGTTTACCTGCAGGTACTCATAACATTTATCTATTAAAACAACTTTTTTCCCCAGTTGGAGATTCCTGCAAAAACCCAGGTTAATTTTACATGTTGTTGTGTTATAAAGCCTCAATCCTAGACAAATGAAATAATACAATTATTTTTTTCTCCTAAGTGAAGTCTGCTCTAACTGAACAGTTGCACGGAGGACCTGGGCTTGGCTAATAGAGAAGCACTTCCACAGGCAAATCTCCAGATTTTATTAATACATCCCCCAAGTGCAAAGCTGAAGCAAAGTGAGACCAAGACTTTCCTATTCCTTTTTCTTAGGGTCTTCAGAGCTCTCTCTGGGGAACATACGTGACCTCAGTTCTCTGTCTATCAGCAGCAAGGATCCTCATTATACCTCCTTACTAACAAAAGCAAACAGGAGAGTACACATTGCACATACACGGGTGTTTATGCTGGTGTGAGCATGTGCATAAAATGTCGGTTTTAGAATGGGTTTATACTCAGGGAAATAGTTGCTATTTGCTACAGATGACGACCTGGCAGGCAGTGAGGCAATGCCTCTCTGGAGGCAGTGCTCATTGGCAGGTTTAACACAAATGAGAGGAACCTCTTTTCTTCACCAAACAATTTGATGCTGCAGGCTGCCGTGGGAGCCAAACCAGAAATGGGTTCAAAAGAGACATTGACAAATTAATGGAGAATTGGATATTAAACTTGATGGTCCAAATGTAACTTTTCACCCAGGAGGTGGCTACACTGACAGGTGATGAAAGCAAGAAAGATTACTGCAGAAGGATTTGTTTGTTGTGTTCTTTTCCTACACTCCTGCTACAATTTACATGTTTGTGCTCATTAGCAGCCACTGTATGGGAACAAAAAATAGCTTTGATGAATTAGATTCATGCTCTGCTTGAGGAACTGAGGAACTAAACCTGACTCAGCTTCAGACCCAGCCTCTCACATAAAGGCTGCTGATACGGTTTGGCGCCAAGAAGCCTGTGATGCTGCTGCTGCTGTTTATTAATTTGCTCCCTACAGAGATCACAAGGGAAGTGGCTGGGATGGTCAACTGGCTGTTGAAGATGAAGGCTGCTTTTCTTTCTCTGGCACCATGGAATGGTTTGAGTTGGAAGGGACCTGAAACATCATCTAGGTCGGATTTCATCTGCTGATGCCCCAGTCTGGTACTTTTCAGTCTCTCTCAGGGGAAGTCTGTGTTTACTGACAGAGTAGAGAACCTTCAATCCAAAGCAAAACGGTTATGACTCACCAGCTCTTTTAATCCTCTTCCTCTCTTTTAGCTGGTAGGGCTTGTGATCGTGTGACAAGGGAATAGCATTCCCATCCTTGTCACACAGGACTCCTCGCGAATCTCCAACATTGGCCACTGTGAGTTCTTTATCTGACAACAGTGCGATCAAGCAGGTTGTGCCTGGAAAAAAATACAAGGGAATGGGAAGCAAACCAGATATATGGGGTGTGTATGTGTGTGTGGATATATATACATATATCTCTAAATATTTATCAGGAAAACGTTCTTCCTATTGATAATGGCAGAGAGGGGCTGAAGTGGGAAGTGCTTCCCAGTCTCCATCTGGGCACTGGCTTTTCCTAATGGCCAAGGAAAATAGTAAGAGAAAAGCACAAATTAGCTCCAGAGCCCACTCACTGCTTTCCTGAACTGCTAGTGCTGCAGTGGACCATGCAGGGGTAAAACAGAGCTCTTTCCTCTCATCCCCTCAAGAACTAAGGCCAGTTTTAAACTTTTTATATTGAAAAAAATGAAAATATTTGTCACTGTTAATCACTTTAACCTTCAAATACACAGCAAATGTAATCAGTCATTGACCACCACATCCTGCAGGCATACTATTTGACTATTTGCTGGCTAAAGTGGCAGGACAGTATTAGAAAAATTGGCTGTTTCTGAAGTGCAAAGGCTGTAGTTTTACTTTCCTCATATAACTGATGCAGTGGAATGAATGTTGAGTGAAGCAGATCCTATTAAGACCATTCCTTTTCTGTATTTTCACTTTCCAGTGAGTATGAGCTGTATTCATAAAACCTCCAGCTTTATAGGAGGAATATATATTCCTTCTAGAGAGAAATACAGGAATATTCCAAATACTCTTTGCATGGGCTTTGGACCAGACATCACAACTTCATTCATGCTTTAGAACTGAAAGATGGCAAGTGAAGTTTTTAGATACAGACAAACGTTAAAAGGGAACATGCCTGGTACTCAATTCGGATTGCATAGGGCTGCTAAAATTGGTGTAAGAGGTACTCTGGTATCCTTCAACAGTAAATAAAATTAACTTATTGGCAGATTTCTTTTCCTTTTAGGTAGAACAGAGAAGCACATGCTTGAGTTCTCACCACTGTTGTTAATTTACATGTGATTATTCATTTAAAGTGAGCCCTGTGGAAGCAGCATGCGGGGCCGGCCTGCCTGATCAAGGGCCCCAGTGATGAAACGCAACCAACAGCAGCGTCACAAAGAAAGGTGTCTCTGCTTATACCTTCAGATCAGACAAAGATGGAGTATTAATGAAAACACCAGCAACAGTGCGTTTTCACTGCCTGCCATCAGTGGCATCCTGATCACTGGTTTTGGTCTTGGGGAGCTATATTAGGGTTTAAGTCTATGCTCTATGGCCTTCAAGCTCAATTCTCATCACTGCTGCTTGCTGTATTGCTGTCCAAACCAGAGTTGGAAACTATGTTTTGCTGTTCCCATGTCAGTAGTTAAATATCCCATGACTAGTATAAATAAAAAAGCCAGTAATAAACCATTTGTGTTTAGATGCACTATGTTCTGAAGATTTATTTTTAACGTAATGGTCTGTCTTGCACAGCAATAAACCAAAGCTATTTTTTCACAGGACAGTAATATATATAATATATATATATATTATTTTTTGCAACTGACTGACACATCGCAGACCTAAATGGACATAGTTTCACGTTTGTTGCTAAAGCCCCTTGCTAACTGCATAACTTGATGACTGAGATTGCACCAGCGGGTGTGAGGGAGGCTCTGCTGGAAGGGGAACCCACTGGGCAGATGCCTGCCCTGCTCAGGTGCAGGGTGCCCAGCCCTAGAGCCCTGGAGAACAGACCCACTCCAACCCCAGAGGACTTGGTGGTGAAAACCCCAGTATCCAAACCACAAAGACAACAAATCAATAACGAGGGTACAGACTACTGGAGTGGGGGGGGAGGTGGTCATTTAAGCAGGACAAAATGGGATTTAGCATTGGAGGGCACCTCATGCTCCACCTGAACAAAAGCTCGTAACTCTGCAAACGCATAAAGCCCTGCTTCAGTGCTTCAGCACTAAATGGGAGTCCTCCTTTGCTTTTATTTATGAAACTTTTCTTAACAAACATTCAAGCAGCACCATGCTAACAATCTGCATGAGACTGGAGGGCTGGTACCTGCTGAAGCTGGTCTGAACTTCAGACAGAAAGAGAGCAGCTGCCTTTCAGTTTGGGCTGAAAGCAAAAACCTGTGAGATGCAAAATGAGGGCAAAAGTGAAAGCCCTGTTGGATGGAACACAGAGCAAAACAACTCCAGAAGGATCCTGGAGTGCTGCAGGACAGAGACCCAGGAGCCGCATAGGAGGCTGCGAGGCTCTGTGATCCCCCACCCTGCTGAGACTGTGTTCAGGAGATCATTGCTCCGGCTGTACCTGTAGCTGCCGTCCTGGCATGACAGCTGTGTTTGTAAATTCATCAACTCTCCCATACGCAAGACCACCATCCTGCTCTGCAGATTGCTCCCACCTTCCACTGACGTCAGCCCAGCATGTATTTTTCCTACAAGTAATGTTAAAAATTGTTTCCTAGTAAAGAAAATACTGCAAATAACATCCTACAGGCCTCGTATTTAACAAGTAAAATGCTTCATATACACAGTAATTATTACCACAATTTATATAAACACTGACTGAACACAGTCTTCCTGGTTATATGATCTGTGTGAATGAAAGAGCATGAGCGTCTGAAACAGAAGATCATTTCCAAAGCGATTCAGGTAGCATCAGTTGTTTCACGGTCCCTGACTGATGGCTGGGCTATCGTTCAGTCCGTGACCACATGCTACTGCCTGCTGCTACATGAGAAAGCAAACTTACTTTATGTTGTTTTCTTTTCCATCTATTTTTATTTTGGTCACTTAACCTCTTGTGGAGTCAGGAAACATCGTGCTCTTGTCAGCTGCCTCAGATTTAATGCAATTGCACAATGGAAAATTCCCAACATAACGGGTCCAAAATTTAGAACACGTTGTATTAGTCCCTCGATGCAGCTGCCTGAATAATACCCTGCTGAGCAGTTTGCAAAGAAAATCACCAGAAAATTTAAAACCTGTACGGTACTGGCTGCAGAGATAGGGGCGTTTTAAGTCAGGTAAGATTACTGGTGTTGGGTTTTAGTATCAGACAAGGCACCTTGTAAAAGTCAAGGCTCCACCGGCTCTACCAGTTTTTAGATAGCTGCTTTATTGAAAGGAATAAATGTCACCAGAGTGCAAACAAGACCTGGTTAATACAATAAAAGGCATTTGAGAGCCTAGGCATGATCCAGCTCACCCTGCAGCTGCTGGCCATATCGTGCTTTGCACGTGGCATCAGAAAGCCCTGCTGGCTCCTGGCTCCAGATCCCTGCTGGTGGGGCAGCTCAGGATGAGGACCAGAGCTCTGGGGCTCTGGAGGGCCCTTGGTGGTTGGAAAGTCCCCCAGTGTCCTCATTTCATCCTATCCATTCACAAAATCTCAGTTAATCTCACCAGGTGTTCACCACATCATTTCTCCCTCTTTGCCGAGCTTTCCTTCTGTATTCCAAGTCTCTGAGGCCCCACAGCTTTCAGGCCATCAGCACATGTAACCTCTTCCCCTTCCCCTTCATCACTCTCTTCAACCCTGAATTTGCCTGTCTCTTGGTGAGAAATCACACCTCCACCCTGCCCCTACTTCACACTCTTAAATGGCAGAAGTCCCTGGCCAAGGCTTTTCCTCCTGAACAATTGTCCTCCCCATGCATGCCTTCTCACTGCTTTTCCCAATCCTCCCCCACCTTTTCCATAGCGCTTCGCACAGAACTGACAATGGAATAACAGCTCAGACCAGTCCTACTGTAGTGGCAACTCCAAGTCGGACAGGAACTATGTTAAATCAACCCATGGAGCTGCTTTGTATTGAGCCTGGATCCCCTTTCACAAACTGATGGTGTACAACAGCACTCCTGTGATGCCTGTCACGGGAGAGCAGAGGTCTGCTGTACCCTTGGAAAAGAAATGCATTCAGAGCAACTGCAGGTCAAGAATTCAGTATTTACTTGGTTGGGGTGACTAAAAAACAAACAAAAAGACAACTCAAAAAAACCTTTCCCATCTTTTTTTAACAGTGCTCAAGCTTGAATTCACACAATAATTAAGCAAGAATTAGTATTTTCAAGCCTCAGTAATCTCCGGAAGGAAATAGAATGACTCAGAACAGTGTAAAAAGCAGGATAAACAGAAATCCAGATTTATATTTACTCTCCACTAGCAACTTGCACTGCATGCAGCTTCTTTCTCATTTACAGATCTACATTTCTACTTGCCTTGCAGGGACTTCAAATCCTAAACAATAAGACTTCAGTAGTTTTCAGAGCAGGCATGTGCTGTTTTTACCATTAATATCTGTCCTCTCTGCCCATCTGCCTCAGCTCCTCCCATTGAGAGCAGACTTGTCTCCTGCTTTTCTACTTTACATGTTCTGCACATACCCCCCAAGCAATGCAAATAAAACTTTGATTATAGCCTGGGGAATAGGCAAGACTGAGAAGAACACCATAGGTAAGTATATGAGGAAGGGTAAAGGGAGCTTCTTGCTTCCTAGTGGCCAGGAATGGGGATAAAAAGTGGTGTGAGACAATCAACATCGTGAAACGGCACCTCTGTGTGCCCTCCAAGTGATCTGCCAACTCCAATCCAAAGCCATAAAAATAAATCTAATTATCCACTGCTTATTTGTAAGATAAGCAAGGACAAAATCAAGTAGCAGACATTCACGTTTCATTCTTGATGCAACAGTGCAAGAACTACAGGGGCTGGAGACCTTTCCTTGCTCTGATGCTCCCCAAACCACCACATCTGTATGGAAAAGGAGGGACAAATCAGATACTGAAAGCATCAGTTCTCCAAGCAAAAATGATCCCAACAACCTGTAATTGGGATGGGATCACTGTAAAACCTTTTGCTGAATCCCAACAATTTGCACACTGCCTCCTACTTGGCTGGTTTCTAATCCAAGGCACCATTTTCTCTCATGTGCATTTTCAGCTTCTCTAATGACATCCAACCTCATCAAGCAATTTGTGAAAGGCCAAGCTAATTGTGCTCATTAGCACTTCTTCATCCTTTACTCCTTTAAATAGCGACACAAT